TTTTCGTTGAGAAGTTCCTGGAGAATGTTTTTATTCTTGAGGATAACTCAACAACACGATGCCGGACAACGCGTTGCAGATAAAGACTCGACGCCAATCGATGGTCAGCTAAAGATTAGCAAATCAGGAATTGACTTCAAGTTTAAAATTCCGACAACGGTCAGACAATAAATGCAGTACCGGAACTCTTACGGACATTCGACAAAGCACCGAATAGCCTGGAGAATTGAAGGAATCAAGAACAGAAGCCATTCCAAGGTCCCGTTACACCGACTGAAGGTTGGGACAATCATATCCAAAGTATTCCAGACTCTTCTATAAAAGAACGAGACTGAAATACTTTGGAGGGGGTATCTGTAGGCATATAAAATTGCTTATAGGTCCCTTAGCACAGCTCGGCACAAACCGACGAACCATCGGGCGAATCAGGAATCGGATTTACTGCCAAATCAGGAATCCGACTTACTGCCAAATCAGGTCAACGAGTCAAGTCTGAATCAACCAAATCACGGACAGAACCGGAAAACGGATACAGCGCAAAATGACGGAAAACCCAACACCTAGGGGGGCTCGGCCAAAGCCGAGCCACCTATGGGTGGCTCGGCCCAGTGCCGGCCACCTATAGGTGGCCGACACTATTCCGTGCGCGGGCATAGTAAAGAGAGCCTATAAATAGGCCAAGGGTTGTTCATTTTCAAAGGTTGGACTTTTGAGAGCCGAAACTCTGCCGGATTGAAGATCGAGCTTAGAGTTTTGAAGACTTGAAGACTTGGACATTCAGATCTGATCCTCGGCGAGCATCCACGTCACAAAAGGCAGGAGTTCGAGAGAGGGGAAGAACATATCTGAGATCTACACGAGATCACACTCCGGATCTAAGCTTGGTCTTAGATCCCGAGATCCGAGCGATTATTTCCTTAGTGAACTAATCCCTCCCGGCTATTATTCCCTTCGTGGAATAATACCCGTCAAATCGTGTAGATCCGACCGGATCTAGATCGCGCGGTGGTCCACGGATTAACCCCGGCGTTGGCAAAGAACCCACAAAAGCGAGCGACCGCAAAACAGGAGCTCGCGATTTGTTCACAAGGAGAAAGTTGTAATTTTCTTTATTTTCTTTGATTTCGTTGTAACCGGATCTAAAAAAGACCGGATCTTTTGTAACCACAAAAAGTTGTTATTTTGAGATCACAATGACATTAATGAAGAAAATGATTTTTCCCGCGAACAACGGATAGACGACACAGAAATAATGTTCAATGATATTTTTCCCATCCTACCGAATATAATATCGATGATAATATTGAAGATGATATTGGAGATGACATTGAAGATGACATTGAAGAGGTTGGAGATGTATAAGGTGCAGAAATTTTTGAAGATATAAACATAAAGCGATAATGAAGCTACTAGAAGATAGTGGAAAAAAATAAAAAAAAGACATATATGAGGGTTGTACCGAGTACTCCAGATTTTTATTTATGCTGAAACTCCTACATATTAAAACACTTAGAGGAGTGGCTGATAATTATTTTGAAATAGCTTTGGATGGTAATTCTTAGAGGAGAGGTTAGCATACCTCAAATAACTTATCAGGTTAAGAAGATTGTTTCTGCACTAGGTCTTGATTATAATAGGATTGATGCATGTTCAAGTAATTGTATCCTCTACCATAAAGCCAATAAAGAACTTTAGGAGTGCCCGACATGTGGAATTTCTTGGTGGAAACAACACACAAACTCTTCAACACGGAGGATAATTGAGACAAAGGGGATGCAGAAGAAAATTCTAGTTTAAAGGTGTTTCGTCATTTTCCATTAGTCTCTAGATTATAACTATTGTATATGAACAAAGACATCGCAAAGAACATGAGGTGACACAAGGAAGATCAAGTAGATGATGTTAAATTAAGACATCCTGTTGATGCTTTAGCTTAAAAGCATGTTGATAATATTTATCCCTGTTTGATAATAATTGTAGAAATGTCAGACTGGACCTATCTAACAGATTCAATCTATTTGGGGTTATGAGATCGAGCTGGTCTACGTGGGTAGTTGTATTAATGCCATATAATTTACCTCAATTGCTTTGTATAAAATAGCTATATATGATACTTTTATTACTGATACATGGTAAGCACGTATCGGGTAATGATATTATGTCTGATACGGGTGTATCTTCTTCTCTGTTTCAGGAGCTTAGTGATCCTCATGGGAGCTTGATGGATAGATGATTCTCATGATATCTTGGGAATAGGAGCGTGGATGGAGTTGTAGAAGGCAACGAAAGAAGTCAGAAGGAGCGAAACACGGAGAATAGGAAAAACTGGCAGAGCTCTGGCCGATCGACCGTGACAATATGCACGGTCGACCGCCAACCTGCACGGTGCAGGGTTTAAGACGGGACTCTGTCTGGTCGACTGCGCCACATGCCGCGGTCGATCGTGTCAGGCTCCTGGGCGTTTTAGGACTCCTGATTGACACACTTTCCTGATTTGATTGAGCTTGTTTATTTACAAGTTTGCCATCCACATTGTAAACTCTATAAATAGAGATTGTTTAGGGTTTCTAAACGGAGGAGATTGTTAGAGATGTAGATCTAAGGAGATTAGGTCTAAGAGATATTAGTTTTGATCTAGAGAGAAATTAGAGAAAAAGATAAGAGGTGAGATTCTAATCAAGAGATTAGGGTTTAGAGAGAATTGTGAGATTGTTCCTGATTCTAGAGAGATTGTGAGAGAGAGGGATTTATAATCTATTATTCTCATAATTTAGAGAAGGTATTTTCCTTCGTCTAAAACTAAATTGTTCTTGTGTTTTTCTATCGTCTTCTTCACAACCCACTTTTGATAATTCCGCGATCAAGGGTGCTCATCCGACGACTTGTATCAGGTTGGTATCAGAGCGATTAGATCCTGTGAAGGGGGATCCTGCGTATGGTCCTTACTCGATCGTAATACAAGAAGTTTGGTGAGATCCTTATTCCTTTGGAAGGAGTCCAGAGATTAAGGAAGAAGAAGATGACTGAAGGTAACAAAGATGGAGGGGCCCAAGAGTTTCCTCAGTTAAAGTTCTAACTTGAACGGAACTTCAAGTTCCTAAAGAGGGGAGCCATGATACGGGTGTATCTTCTTCTCTGCTTCAGGAACTTAGTGATCCTCATGCGAGCTTTAGGATAGACGACTCTCATGATATCTTGGGAATAGGAGCATGAATGGAGCAGTAGAAGGTGATGAAAGAAGTCAGAAGGAGCGAAACACAGAGAACAGGAAAAACTGGCAGAACTCTGGCCGGTCGACCACGGCAACATGCACGGTCGACCGCTAACCTGTATGGTGCAGGGTTTGAGACTGGACTATGTCTAGTCGACCACGCCACATGTCGCGGTCAACCGCGTCGGGTTTCTTGATGTTTTAGGACTCCTGATTGACACAATTTCTTGATTTGATTGAGCTTGTTTATTTACAAGTTTGTCATCCACGTTGTAAACTCTATAAAAAGAGATTGTTTAGTGTCTCTAAATGGAGGAGATTATTAGAGATATAGATCTAAGGAGATTAGATCTAAGAGAGATCAGTTTTGATCTAGAGAGAAATCAGAGAAAGATATAAGAGGTGAGATTCTAATCAAGAGATTAGGGTTTAGAGAGAATTAGGGTATTGTTCCTAATTCTAGAGAGATTATGAGAGAGAGGGATTGGTAATCTATTATTCTCATAATCTAGAAAATGTATTTTCCTTCGCCTAAAATTGAATTGTTCTTGTTTTTTTCTATCGTCTTCTTCACAACACACTCTTAATAATTCCGCGATTAAGGGTATACTGACATATGATGCCTATATTAAAGAGTCATTTAGATTACGTACTATTCTAATGTGGATGATTAATAATTTTTTGGTTTATGCTAATCTGTTCTGTTGGTCTACGAAGGGCAAGCAAGATTGTCCTATATGTGGTCCAGAATTTAAAGCCCTTCAATTGCCGCATAAACGAAAGAGTTGTCATTGGTTTAATTGAAGGTGGTTGCTCTCGAGTTATAAGTCACCAGATGGTTACTCTACTAACATATTAAACAATATTCAGGTGCAAGAGATGAAACTCTTAGGTCTGAAGACTCATGATTACTACATCATTCTTCATCAATTGCTCCTGATTGCACTCCATAACATTTGGAGAAAGAAGCGTCAAAGATTATTATTGGGATGTGGATGAATTATAAATATGGATGAATTAAAAAACTTGAAGCCGAAACCTGAGTAACTCTATGCAATATGGAAGTAATATTTCCTCCTTCATTTTTTAAAATCATGCTCCATATTACCCAAAATCTAGCAAGAGAGGCCAGAAATGCAAGTCTTGTTACTTACCGTTGGATGTATCTAATTAAAAGGTTAGGAGTTTCATTACTTCATTAATTATATATGCATTTCTTATATGTACTTCATAATAATTAATGCTTTCTTGGGTTTCATGAAACACAATGTTCGCAATCGAGCTCGTTCGGAGGGTTTGATAGCTAAAGGATATGTGGCCAATAAATGCTTTGTGTTTGCATGACATTACATGCACAAGAAGAAAACAACACATCAAGCACCAAATAAGGATAAGAAGGGTGAAAAATATCCAAGATCTTACTTAGATCAAATTCATGCATATGTATTGGAAAATCTTGATATTTTCTATGACTACCGAAGGTAACAAATGAAATTAGTAATATAGATGATATATGTTCATTTACTTTTAATTTACCAATAAAATCTTATATATTGTATTAATAGGCGACATCTGGAGAAGCTTAAGAATAAAATAACTAATAGGAACGCAGCTCATAATATTCAGAAGAAACATAATAAAGAATTTTTGGATTGGTTTAGAAATAACGTAAGTGTTGTATAATTCAGTTTTGAACTTTCATAATATAATTTTAAGTTAAACCTATCCAAAATATTCTCTGATATTATTTACTTACATTGAGAAATCACTTCTTGATGACACTATATTATTAGATGAAATTATTGTTCATGCATAACATCCTTACTAAGTAAGATGTTATAATGAACATATCATCAATGGGTATAAATTCTTCAATATCAGTTACCTTAGGTTCCCAATCACGAGATAGAGAAAAGAGTATCATTCTGCATAGCTTCTCATTTTCATTCTCCTTCCCCAAGGCTTTCGATTTGTTTACAATGTTAGTGAATCGTGTGAACATGTCCTGAATGCTCTCCGAGGCCTTCAGCTTGAAGTTTTCATACTTTCTTACCTTCATTGTAAGCTTGACCTCTTTTACCTGCGAAGTTCCTTCATGAGTAATATCTAGTATCTTCCAAATTTCTTGTGCAGTAATACAATTAGAGACATGGTTAAACTCTTCAGCAGTAAGAGAGCAATATGAAGCATTCATAGCTTTTGAATTACGAGAGTAACTCTTTTTGTGTTAAGGGGTCCATTTATCCATAGGAATTTCAGCAAAAACTCCTTCTTCATCCTCAGTAGGCCGATTACCAGTGTTCAACACAATCCCAAATATCAAAATAAGTAGATAATAAAAGGACTTTTATGTGTACTTTCCAATATGCATAATTGGTGCCGACACAAAGTGAGGGACAATTGATGGCATGTCCTTTAGGAAAAGCTAAAGCGGTGGTAAGCCTTGATATCTATACCCTAGATTATGATACCTAAATATGGATAATGAGGCTTTGATACCACTTGTAAGAATTAGGATGCAAGCCTAGACGGGAGGTTGAATATGATTGCTATAAACACAAAAAATGCACTGAAAATATAATAAACAAAAAATAAAAAGCAAACTAGCATAGGAACGCACAAGATTTTTATTGTGGTTCAGATAGAAATTCTATGTCCATTATTTTTTTCACGAAGGGCCTTCCTTAGTATGATCAGAGTTCACCTGAATCATAACCCATTTTAATAGGCTTCAAAGATTGCAACCTAGAATCTACCCAAAAACAATCATTAACCTAACTCTTCATAATGAACGGAAGAAACCTAGCCTTAGCTATCCCAACCCCAATTACCCTGACTCGAGTATGCCGTTAAATCTAGCCCTAGCTAGTCCAACCCTTAATTACCCGGTCTTGAGTACGCCGTCAAGCTCATAAGTTTAAAATACAACCTAAAAAATAATTAAGAACAAATAAAACAATATTATAGCCCTTTAGTAAATCATTCTTCAAACTGATAAAAATGAAGATCTATGAAGAAGCGATGTAGTGATGTAAGGATCTGGTTACTCCTTTTTGCTAAATCAAACTCTGATGAAAAGTGTGTTGAGAAGAATCTAAACGAGGCTCATAGGATTCGATCAACTCTCTTGCAAACCCTAGAATAAAGAACTCTCCTTTCTTGTATTTGCATCCTTAAACTTCATTGTTATTTATGATCTTCAACTCCTCTTAAATATGTTAGACCCTAGAGGGGGGGTGATTAGGGTCTTAAAATACCAATTAAAACTAATTAACAAATTATCCTAGCAAGTATGAAATACAACAAGATATATGAGCTAGGATAAGCAATATGAACAACAAAAGATATATCCTACCAAAGAGATATACAAAATGATATATGCAAGGATATGTAAACTAATACAAGGGTAAACAATATGAACTAGATAGTGAATGATAAAAAGAATGAGCTATGGACAATGACGACAAGAAATATAAACATAAGATTAAGTGCGCCAAAGCAAACTTAAACACACGATATGATCACGGAGTTCGGACCTTCCGTCCTACGTCTCCGCTCCCCACTTCCGAGGAGAAATCCACTATCACAACCGGGTTTTCTACGCTCACCCGAATAACGTTTACACCTCACAGTGTCGGTTTTCAACGCTCACCGAACAACATTCACTTCTCACACTCGGTTTTCTAGTTCACCGAAAACTTCACAACACACTCGATTTTCTAGCTCACCGAAAACCTTACACCACTCACAATGTAACAAATATAAATTTGTTCTCTACGATAGATGAGAACTTAATTAAGCACAACTCATTGTTACAATCTCTCACAACCCTATTATACTATGTATGCAAATACAATAAGCTCAAGTGGGTGTGTGTAACAATGAGTAAAATCAAATCTAAACTTAATATAAAACTAGCTTTAATAGAAATGATAATCAATAAATAATTATAAATAAAAGCTAGAGTTGAGTTTAGGAAAACTTCTCTAGATGACAAGAGAGAGAGATGGATTGAATGCCCAAAATACAATTGATAATCTCCTCAAGCTCTTGTAAAACTTTCTTCATAAACCAAACCCTTAAACAAGCTTAAAACAAGCTTAAAATATTTTTAAAAATCTTTAAAACATTCTCTTGGGTTACATTAAGTGTTGAGGGATGATGGGTATTTATAAGAACTCAAGACAACAACCCAAAGCCAAAGAAAAACAAGAAAAGACCAAAAAATAACTCAGCAACGGCTCTAAAAAACTAGCCGTTAGAGGCCAATGGTCAAATCGGCGGTCGACCGCGAAGAACAAAAAACAGAAGAAAAACTTCCAGAGAGTTCGTCGGTCGACCGTACTGTAGCGCGGTCGACCGTGGGTACTGTAGTACTATATATCCAGCTTTGTAAAATCAATTAAAAATAGTAAATCAACTCTAAAAATTATAAAATTTTGAGATAAGATTCTAGACATGTAGAAGAACATGTTAGAGAAAGAATTTATGAAAAATCATTTCTCATTTGAGAGAAATAAATGTTTGAACACAGATATACAGTTTCTGAAAATCTGCTGACATACATGATTTTGTAAAATCAATTGGGCACAGTAAATCAACTCCAAAAATGGTAAAATTTTGAAGAAAGTTTCTAAACATGTAGATAAACATTTCAAAGAAATAATTTCTTAAATATAACTTACCATTTGTGAAAACTCATCTGTTTTGTAAAAACATGCATGAACGAAAAACATGATTTTGTAAATTCAATTAAACATAACAAATCAATTTCAAACTTAATAAAACTTTGGGAAATGTTTGCAAATGTAATTTTGAACATGTTACAAAAAAAAAATTTTCAATTTGCATTTCCCATTGTGGAATCTCATTATTTTACAAAATCACATAAGTATGGACTTGTAAAAGCTTGATCTTGACAAAATGAGTTTAAACAAAGTTTTGGAAACTTTCCAATAGATTTATAAACTTGATAAAAGATATAAAATAATATCGTTAAGTCTATAATCCAAAACGACGATAAACCAAACCAAACGTGTGAGTGTGTGTGTGATATTGAGCTTGAAGTATTAACACACATAATATAAGCCCTAAACTAATTTACCCAAGCTTGATTTGTCTTCAATAAGCTCTTCTTGGTAATCTTGCAGATGAAGCTTGAACTTGAATCTTTAACTTTGAATAACGTTGCTTTATTCCATAATTCCGCCAACCTCCATTTGATATCGTCGTTGAAGCGCTATTCCATCCATCCTCCAACACGTTGTTTGCTTAGAATAAATACGAAAACACAAACACTAGACAAACAACATTAGATGTAAATTATTTACTAAATCACCATCAAAACAAAAAGGCCAACAAAATATACCTTGATAGGATAGTAAAAAAATACCCAAATCTGAGTGCAAATAGGAGATCAAACGAGTTGACGAATGATTGAGATTAAATCCTAAAAATTGTTAAATTTCATCATATAACCATCGATGGTGAATCATGAGCATCGATGGTCCCTTGTTGATCATTAATGGTTCAACTGTAGCCATCGATGGTGCTAATTCTGGTTTCTGAATTTCTTTGGTTATTTCATGTAGCCATCGATGATTCCCTATAACTATCGATGGGTTGCTATAGACCATCAATGGTGCCAATTCTTTTTTTTCTCCAATTAGCTCCAATAACCATCGATGAGATGTTGACCATTGATGATTGCCTCTTGACCATCGATAATTTTAAGGCTGAAATCAATGTTCGTGTTGATTTTTGCATCGTTTCGAATCACATCTTGGTCGTACCTATTTATACCTAAAATACACCATCTCACAAAACATATCAGGAGTAAATAAGAGTTTGTCATTATTTAAACAAGAGTTATTATACAAATAACATTCTAACAAAAGAATGTAGCATAAATGTGAATGTTACAATAAATGGCTTATACATACGAAGAGATATACCAAGAAATTAATGCATTCTTGAGAATTAGTGATTCTCCTAACAAATAAAATAAGAAAGAATCAATTGAGATGGTTTAATCATGTGCCAGAGATCTATGGATGATATCATGATCGTATGTAACTGGAAACAAGTACACGATAGATTTTTCCTACTCCTATTAAGGGTTAAACTACACTAAACCCCCAATAACAACCACCATTTTGCAGTAAACCCTAACAACTTTAAAAATCCCACTAAACCCCATATAACTTTTGACCAAAACCCCCCCAACAATGATTTCATTGCTTCATGTTTAGTCAACATTGCACAATTCCTTTGAAAAAAAATAAGAAGTTACAAAAAAACTACAAAATCTAAAAATTGCAAAATCCTCTTAAGACTTAAAATTAGAAATGGCCCTTGAAGAATCAGCAAATTATAAAAAAACTCCTAAAATAAAAACTAAGTAAAAAAGACCCAAAATATATGAAATTGCAAAAATCTCTTTGAAAATATGAAAATTGTAAACTTCCCCTTGAGATTTGAAATTGACAAACATTTTGGTTTGTAATTTTTGGATTTTTCATGGGGTTGTAATTTTTCATATTTTAAGGTTTCTATTAGTAATCTTTGGAATTTTCAAGGGCTCGTTTGTCATTTTCAAACGTAAAAGGTTGTTTGCAAATTCAAATTTTGCATTTTTTTGCAATTTAAGATTTTCTAAAGGTGTCTTTTAATTTGTCTAATTTGCAGGGGTCTCTTTGTAATTCTTCATATTATTCAGGGTTTATTAATTTTTAAGTTGTTCACGGGGTTGTTTGTAATTTTTAGATTTTAAAGGGAATTGTTTGTAATTTTTAAATTTCCTAGGGGTTGTTTTTAATTTTGAATATTAAGGGGATATTATCAATTTTTAGATTTTTCAAGGTATTTTTGTAATTTTTTATTTTTTGGGGATATTATATAATTTTAGATTTTTTAGGGCAAAAATTTCATGGTTTTCAAATATGCGGGTATATGCAAATACGGATGATATGAGGGGTATGTATGCGAAGAACCCCTTTTTCTTACTATTACTTGCCTAGGGGGTATTTTTGTCCATGTCGAAATATTTTTGGGGTTTTCTGATGATCCAAACTTATTAGAGGTTTAGCGAGACTTTTAAACATTGCAGGGGTTTATGCAAAACCTGAACCCTAAGATTTTGAGATAGTTCATTCCTAGGCAACAGATATTACTAAATTGCACCCATTAAGGGCA